TTCATTCGCGAAAACCCTCATTCATCACTTCCTAGTCCTTTCAAGTTGTATATTATGTTTCTATTTATGTATTGAGGGTCACTACATTATGAGTACATGTAAAAATATATTTATTTCGTCATTATTGCTATTTTCTTATTTATACTCGGTAAAAACAGCAAATATTTTTTTTTGCTGATTAGGTAAAGCCTGGTCTGTGAGCACGTAGAATTTTGTCCAATGACCCCAAGCTACCCATCCTTATCGCTCGCGTGTAATTATATTGCTGTCGCGACTGTGCGACGGGCGCCCGCAGTGAGTGTGCGAGCGCGACAGCAACATAATTACGCGCGAGCGATAAGGATGGGTAGCTTGGGGTCATTGGACAAAATTCTACGTGCTCGCAGACCAGAGTATAGTCAAAACAAGTACAGTCAGCGTCAAATAGTTCGTGACACCCAAAGTAGCCAAAAAGTTCGAAACACGTCTTTGTTACAATTGGAATAAGGTTGAGTTGTCAACTTTTTGGCCACTTTGGGTGTCACTAACTATTTCACGGTGACTGTACTTTCAAAACAAACGGGCCGGTCGTTTTATACTTATAAATACTTTATAATACTGTATAATAGATAAATAAGATTATATTCCATGAATTCTCACTTTTGTATGAAATTATGAAATCATCATACACTTGGTGGTGTGATTCGTGTATATCAAACTAGTCTGTTATTGGGGGAGGCCTATGTCCAGCAGTGGACGTCCTGTGACTAAAATGATGATGATGATGATGACCTATTTCAAACCAGCCTCTCTAAAAATCATTGAGGGAAGCCTTTAAGGGAGTCCTATGGCTGAAACATAGATAAAGAGAGATGCCATCTAATGCACTGAGTTCGAAACTCAATGTCGCATTAGAAATTCACACACACAAAGTAATCAAAATATGTGCTCATTATCCACTGCGGTATCAGTACAATACCCGGCGATAAATATTGCACATCGCCCTTTAGAAAGAGACAATCGGCTAATTTCGGTTTCGTAGAGCGTTATCACTGTCGCACTTGAACAACGACTGACAATGACGTTTTGTCAAAGTGTAAACAAACTTTATTTTAAATGCGTGCAATTGATTTTGTGAATTAAATTGCTAAAAACTTTTTATAGTCGTGAAAGAAAAGTGGTTCACAATGTGTTATAGCATTTGTCGAAGAGAAATACTGAGGGTTCGGACAATATTTTTATTGAATAATGTTTTGTCAATCATATAGGTAGTGTGCGACAGAGATAACGCTCTACGAGCCGGAATTAACCGATTCTCTTTCCAAAGGTCGATGTACAATATTTATTGCCGGGTACTGTACTCAACGTTCGAATAATCTTTAGCACTACGCAAGCAATGTAAACCGTTTACATTATGACGTCTGCAGCAATGTGTTCTGTTTTTGGGCATATTGCCGCGACACCGGCCCCGCCCACTTGTCACATATCTCTTTAGTTTCTGTGTGGGCTGAAATGACGATGATAACATTGATGATGATGATGATGATGATATATAGTTCCAAAATACTGGATTGTCCTGTCGATGACATTGACAGTGGGGCGCCACCGTCAATACCGGATCGCTGGTTCAGATTTTTGCCATGTTGGAAACCATATAGTTGAACGATGGTAGCGCCCCCCTGTCATTGAGTTTGGCGGGACAGTTCAGCGTGGGTCATCTATAGATGAACTATATCTACATTTTGAGCGCATAGTAAGTCGGGGGCTGTTTCTCATGGTGAGAGCCTTGCATTTTGGGGTCGCACGGCCATACCGATTGGAGCGGCATGTCTTCGGGGCCCATCACCACTTGTTGCATTGGGATCTGTGAACAAAATAGAAAGATAAGTATATTTGAAAGATATTAAAAATGGATCCAAAAAGTAGCCTAAGGTAAAGAATATATTTTTTTTTTGTTCATAGCGTCGCGTCGCGTTACGCCGCGTTTATTCGTTGAATATAATACTGGCCTATATACTCGTAGTCGCATAGGACACACGTCGCGTCAAGTTACGTCGCATAGCTTCGCGTCGCATGAAGTATTGGTCGCATTACGTCGCTTCATGTAGCATCTTGTCGCGTCCCGTAGTGTCACGTCACGTAGTGTCGCGTCGTATCGTGTAGCGTCGTGTCGCGTCACGTGTATATTGACCGGTCGTGTATCGCTTCCTAACCTAGCCGTCGCTTCAAGTAGCGTCATGATGTAGCGTCGTCTCGCGTCATGTAGCGTAGTGTCGCGTCACGTGTATATTGACCGGTCGTGTATCGCTTCCTAACCTAGCCGTCGCTTCAAGTAGCGTCATGATGTAGCGTCGTCTCGCGTCATGTAGCGTAGTGTCGCGTCACGTGTATATTGACCGGGCGTGTATCGCTTCCTAACCTAGTCGTCGCTTTAAGTAGCGTCATGTAGCGTCGTGTCGCGTCATGTAGCGTAGTGTCGCGTCGTGTAGCGTACTATCGCGTCATGTCGCGTTTTGTCGCGTTGTGTCGCGTCGCGTGTACACTCACCGGTCGCGTGTCCCGCCGTTTCCCGCGGCTGCGTTTCGGCCAGGGCTTCTTGAGGTGCACGTACGTAATATGCGCCCGCTTCTCGCTGGCGTGCTTGAAGCCCTTCCCGCACATCTCGCATTTGAACGGTTTTAGTCCCGTATGAATCTGTAAAAAGAAGTATATAAGAAAGAAGAAATGGCTGAAAAAGTTTTTTCTGGCACTGCCACTTCTTATTAGCACCAAACTATCCTCTCTCTCTTACTATCCCCTCTTACTGTTCTCTCTTACTCTCCTCTCTCTTACTAACTTACTATGCCCTCTTGCTATTCTCTCTCTTAAGTGCCCCTGTCTTACTCTCCTCTCTCTTACTAACTTACTATGCCCTCTTGCTATTCTCTCTCTTAAGCGCCCCTGTCTTACTCTACTCTCTCTTACTAACTTACTATCTCCTCTTACTATCATATCTCTTACAGAGAGCTGAATAAGACAGGGGAGCTTGACAGAAAGTCTCTCTATTAAGCTCCCCTGTCTTACTCTACTCTCTTACTTTCCTATTCGCTGGGTGGGGGAACCACGAAACGATCGCAGCGCGCGTCATGGCCAAAAAAGGAACTTTCTGTGGCGGACGCTGTCACTTTTTACTAGAGAGATTTACGTTTTTAGTAAATAAACATGAGTCACGAAGCTTGCTGCGTAGTTAATTGCAAAAACAATGGCAGAAATAGTGATAAAAAATTCTACAAATTTCCACAGGCAAGTTGAAAACGAGAACAATGATGTCGTGTGTGATTGGTCGGAATCCAGTTTTTATGATTAATTTGGCCATGCTTAACTGAAAATACATAAAAGGATGGATTATTGAGAGCACAAGCACTCATAAATAATCGTCTGCTATTTACATGAAATGCGTTATTCGATGAAATTTGCTTATTTCTTTACTTACTTCTCATGACGACAGCCATGAAAAATCCGTAATGTAGGTACTAAGCGAAATCTATTGATTGTGCCATTTTAGACGAAAAATAAAAAAGGCTTACCTTAATATAGATTTAGAATATTTATTGGAATAAATGTAAATTACAATATTTAATTAAAATTGTTCGTTTGTAAATAACTCGTCGTAATGACAGCCGGGCATTTGACATTTCCAAGGCCACCGTATTTGCAACCGCTAGTCGGCGCTGTCATCGCCCACCCAGCGAATATGTGACTTTTATCTCTTAGGCCCGGTTTTTTGATTCGTAGTTAAAATAACCAATGGTCAAGTTTGACAGATGTCAAATGACAAGTGGTTAAATAACAGAAAAAAATGTTTTTCGAACAATGGTTAGCTTGACTTTTAGTACATTTTTTAACTATTAGTTAGCATTTTGTTAATATTTAAGAGCCATTTCACAAAAATATTCCGCGCGAATTTAGGTAAAAGCTGTCAACGCAACGTCAAAAGAGTAAAAAGAACGCTGAAATGGACAAAAAAATCTTGAGCCGTGACCGTATTAAGACTTGATTTATGTTATTAATTTTAAGGTAGAATGAGGTATTCAAACTTGATAAATTAATTTAAATTTTTAATAGAGTTTAATAAGTCTTTTATATTTCGATTCATAATGAAACACGAATAGGTATAATATGTAAAATATATATTAAGTACAAAATAAAGACAGTNCATTAGACCCCGATTACTATATAGAATTAAAATACTCATCAATATAAAACGAACGAGCCCAAACTCGATGCATTTAAGTCGTTTTATTATAGAGTTCCTATGGCCACCTTCCAGCTCCATCATCAGATCAGCTCCATGTCATCATAATATTGCATGGTCATCCAAATCACATGTGTTTGCGAAATTTCAGCTTAATCGGTTGCCTGGAAGTGGGTCTTAATTCAGTTTGCAAGATTCCACCCATACAAATATGAGCCAGTCGTTGTAATATGACGTCACGCGCATAAAATGGCGGGCCGGCCGCCGCCCGCACTTTTAAAATTCAATATCTTGGAAACTAATTGACGTATCGAAATAATTCTTTCACGTGTATTTTTTATTTTTAACAGAGAATACAGAAAGCTAAAAAACAAAATTAGTGAACATTCTTCATTATCGCTTTCTCTATGGCGGGCGTCGTTTGTCACAACGCGCAATGAGTATCATGGTACGAGCCACACAGCTGTCGTAGATTTCTACTTTTTTGGTAGATTTGAGGCAAAGAGAACGATGATTTGGTAGTGCGAAATCGTTTAGTAGATTTTGGTAGATAATTGGTATTTTTAGAACATTCTTATAAATGGTAGTCCAAAATTAAATTGTAACCGAGCCGAGAATCCAGGCCAAAAAAAAAGGCCAGGCCAAATAATCTACCAACTTTTTCATTATATCGACAAAAATAATTAGCGGGCCGCAATTTATAATGAGTTTAGAACCTCTGATATTTAATTTTTTTTATCAACTCTCGGCGAACAGACTTTAGTTCGTGTCAGATGACGTCACTCACCGTCAGCCAGCAGCGTGAGGTAATGCGGCGTGGGCTCGGGCGTAGCGGTGAGCGTGATATTGGGCGAGGTCTTGTCGCGCAGCGCCGTCACCACTTCTAAGCAGTGCCGGAACGACGGCCGCGCCTCCGCTGAGTAGCTCCAGCACTTTTGTAGCAGCTCGTAGCTGGAGAGAAACGGGTTTAGTGACGTGTGTCGTCATAAAAACAATGGTGTTTGATGTCATAGAGACAATGCTCTTGAGTTATCAATGATATGAGATATAATCAGTAAATAGTAGATGCTCTTCTTTTGTAATACCGACGTTTTACTGATTAAGGGCTGATTTTTCAATCCTCAGATATGTTTTAACTGAAGAATAACCTTGTCATTTTGACTTATTTCCCATACTAAAACTGTCAATGTGCCAAACTTATTCTTCAGTTAAGTTATCCGACGATTGAAAAATCAGCCCTTACTTGAATAATACAAATAATAAGTTAATGCAGTTTTAAAAAAACTTACAACACTGCAGGACAATTTGGCGGCCGATCTGGCGTTCCACCAGCTCTGACGTATGCCAGCACTTGTCTATTAGTACGCGCCGGGTATGGCTGTTGTCCCAGCGATAAAACCTAATAGAAGTGGAAAAACAAAACGTTACTTTCTTATATGAATATTTGTGTATAAGATTTTCTTTTGATATTATTGAGTATACTCACCTCCCAACATAAAACTCCCCACGCCCAAACATCAGACTGGCAAGAGAATACACCATCCACTAGGCATTCTACCGCCATCCACCGGACTGGCAGCAAACCTGTAAAGCAAATGTAATTAACGATTAACGCACCTTTATATTCGAATTTGAGATCTTGGTACTTTGGCTGTGAAAAAATAAATAAGAGTGTGCGAGTCGATAGAAAGAGGATTTTATACTCCTTTCTAAACTGAACGTGCCGATTCTTTAACTTTTGGCCCCTATTCAAAATGGTATAATATTATCATGCACCAACCTTCCCCCTCCTTCCTATAGTAGTCGTTCTTGTAAATGTCCCTCGCCAGCCCAAAGTCTCCGATCTTCACCACTCGGCCGCCGGCGCGCTGCGCTACTAAACAATTGCGGCACGCCAGGTCGCGGTGTACGAAGTGCATCTCTTCAAGGTACCGCAGCCTTTCGTCACTAGTCTATGGTATAATATTATATCATGCACCAACCCTCCCCCTCCTTCCTATAGTAGTCGTTCTTGTAGATGTCCCTCGCCAGCCCGAAGTCTCCGATCTTAACTACGCGTCCGCCCGCCCGCTGCGCTACCAAACAGTTGCGGCACGCCAGGTCGCGGTGTACGAAGTGCATCTCTTTAAGGTACCGGCAGCCTTTGGTCACTAGTCTATGGTATAATATTATATCATTCACCAACCTCTCCTCCTTCCTATAGTAGTCGTTCTTGTAGATGTCCCTCGCCAGCCCAAAGTCTCCGATCTTCACCACTCGTCCGCCGGCGCGCTGCGCTACTAAGCAATTGCGGCACGCCAGGTCGCGGTGTACAAAGTGCATCTCTTCAAGGTACCGCAGCCTTTAGTCACTAGTCTATGGTATAATATTATATCATGCACTAACCTTCCCCCTCCTTCCTATAGTAGTCGTTCTTGTAAATATTCCCTCGCCAGCACGAAGTCTCCGATCTTAACCACGCGTCCGCCGGCGCGTTGCGCTACTAAACAGTTGCGGCACGCCAGGTCGCGGTGTACGAAGTGCATCTCTTCGAGATACCGGCAGCCTTTGGTCACTAGTCTATGGTATTTAATATTATATCATTCACCAACCTTCCCCCTCCTTCCTATAGTAGTCGTTTTTGTAAATGTCCCTCGCCAGCCCGAAGTCTCCGATCTTAACCACGCGTCCGCCGGCGCGCTGCGCTACTAAGCAATTGCGGCACGCCAGGTCGCGGTGTACGAAGTGCATCTCTTCGAGGTACCGGCAGCCTTTGGTCACTAGTCTATGGTATTTAATATTATATCATGCACCAACCTTCCCCCTCCTTCCTATAGTAGTCGTTCTTGTAAATGTCCCTTGCCAGCCCAAAGTCTCCGATCTTAACCACCCGTCCGCCGGCGCGTTGCGCTACTAAGCAATTGCGGCACGCCAGGTCGCGGTGTACGAAGTGCATCTCTTCAAGGTAGCGGCAGCCTTTGGTCACTAGTCTATGGTATATAATATTATATCATTCACCAACCTTCCCCCTCCTTCCTATAGTAGTCGTTCTTGTAAATGTCCCTCGCCAGCCCGAAGTCTCCGATCTTAACTACGCGTCCGCCCGCACGTTGCGCTACTAAACAGTTGCGGCAAGCCAGGTCGCGGTGTACGAAGTGCATCTCTTCGAGGTACCGACAGCCTTTGGTCACGTCCACACACATGTTCAGCAGGTCCAGGAGAGTCAGGGATTCGGAGGTGTACTGCAAGTTTTAGATAGTTTCTCATAATATTTGGAGTCACTAAACATGGTTTTAGAGTCTGGTTTTGTTGCACGTGAGAGCTGCACAGGTCTTGACCAATTCGATTCTCTTCGGTGTTCGTTTGTCTTGTGTTGAATTTAACCGATTGAGTCCCAGACGGCATTAATTAATGTCATAACAATTGATTATCTATTGTGTCTAGATTCGCGGAGCTTGAAGGATTAAAAGAGCGATTCTCGTATAATAGAGATCATCTCAAAGTGAAGGATTCGATTTCGTGATCTACTACTACTACGAGAGACTAGTGTCGCGAATGTTGATGTACGACTAACATATTTCTAAGAACATTGTTACTAATAAATATAGTCTCTAAGTTCAAATTGTTACTAACCAAACTATGGACTGCTTTTGTCTGAAAATAAAGGATTGTTATTTTTTTTTTTAATGTTACAAACTTCTGAGGGTCTACAAAACGGGATGGAAACGCCATAGAGTTTACTCTCTCATCTATGGTCTACAACAAATAACAAAGTGCTAATTATAATCTCAAACCAGTCGAAAAATGGTAGAAAGGCCTTTTTTGTATGGAGTTATGACGGTTTCGATTTCCGATTCGACCAAAAAGTGCAATTTGTGCAAGGGGCGGCAGATCCTGTCTGTAGTGTCTCAAAGTTGTGTCCCAAATATATTTTGCCATTATGACCGGGATCATCCCTCAAGCAGCATAAATTTTGGTAATGAACGGAACAGTTACATCGACTAAGTACACATGAAAGGTCGACTACTAGGTACTTCATAAATTCCTTACCAAGTTGGCGCGCTTTTTCCTCAAATAGCTGAGCAGGTCGCCGGCCTCCATGAGTTCCATGACGATGTAGTGCGGGTCGTTGTCGAGGCAGACGCCCAGCAGCCGCAGGATGTGCTCGTGCTTGAAGTTCGACATCAGCGCCGCTTCTTTCAGGAACTCCGTCTTCTCTTGCTCGGTCGCGCCTTTTCGCAGAGTCTAGAACAGTGGTTCCCAAACTTATTTAGTCTACTGCCCACTTTGAGAATAAATTATTTTATAGCGCCCCCCATTTTTTAGTCAAGAGTCGAGCTCGTGTAGATGACGCCTCCCAAGCCTACACAACGTCCCGATTTTTTTTCTGGGTCTCTTACCGCCCCCCTTTAAGCCTGCAGCGCCCACAAGGGGGCGTTATCGCCCACTTTGGGAAAGACTGGTCTAGAATATAATATTATAACTAGCATTAGGTATGGATAACAGTAAGTATAATGAATACTTTAGAGCTGACCCAGATGATGCAAAATTCCAATATGAAAGCGACTACGCGTCGGTTTATCGACAACGATACTTACGCCCGTATTCACAAACGATGCTTTGCTTGCTTAAGTGAAGCAGCAAATCGAACGCACAGCGTTCAATGGTTCGTGAGCTCTGTGATTGGTTCGTGTGTGTGAGACCTCATAGTAATGTTTGTGAATACGGGCGTTACTTACTGACGTTAATACTTACGTACTTACTTAATTTACATTGTAAAATCACACCTATTATAATCTATTAAATAATAAATGCAACACGCTGGTTAGAGGATGTATCTTCTGAGTATATCCCGTACAGGAGCTTGTTTGTTGGAGCCCCCTTTCATTCAAGAAATATATTTTTTTACAGTAGGAATTTTGACGAGGAAAAGAGAATGCACAAAAGATCGTAATTGGCCGAAGCGCTAAGTCATGGCCCACACCTCCATTAGATAACTACTTCAAGAGTATAAGTATTAAGACTTACCTTGACTGCAACCTTGGTGTCAGCCGTGGCCCCATTGATCTGCCGCGCGACACCTTCAAACACCTCCCCGAAGGCGCCGGAGCCCAAAAAGTTTGTAAGCGTGATCTGCTCGCGGCGGATGTGCGGAAGACTTGCCAGCTCCGCATCCGAAGGGCAGAGCACGCCCTGCTTTAGAAAAAAGATTCATTTCATCATCATCAACATTCGGTAATAATTTCCCCCCTGTATTATGATATGTCAGGGTCCAGGCCTCCCTGAAAAATAACCCTAGATACGCCAAAGCTGTGGCTACGATAAGAAAAGCTGAAAGCTGGATAAGCTATTTCGAAAACGGAATGATTCAGTTATTATCTTATTGGCCTCGAGATTCTTTCAACTTCCATAAAATATATTGGCTTTTACTATTTCTTACAGTTTTTGGACCCGTTACTGACACTTTAACAATAATTTACCCTTCCTACTTATTTATTGTTTTGACTGGGAAATGTCTTCTATAATGATGTACAAATTATATTGATTTTATGAATTTACGCAAGAGGTCCCCTGCGTAAGATATAATAAAAGGTTATCTGTAGTACCAGTAGTACCTACAGTTGTATTTAATTTACGTCATATTTTATGAGCTAGTAAAATGTAATATAATGTTGATTGTTATTGCATGCTAATATTAATTATTTTATTACCTGGTTATAAAGAATATTCGTGGAGTGTCGTATCGGTAGCTGTCGGAGCGTAGCTAATTCAACATCTGGACCTCTTCTGGGTACGATGTTCTGGATTTGCATTTCTATTGCGGCTTTCTTCTTCGAACGATTGTTGTATGCTGTGAACAAATTAAAGAATGTATACTCTGAATTCATACAATAGGTTCAGTGTCCTTTAGCTATATTCAACTACGACGTGCCGTCTTCATATGACATGCATAGAGTTGTAAATTTTTACGACGCAGCTAGCCAGTCGACCACTGAAAACCAAACGTCGTGGTGCTATGCACTGCGGCATTATGCAGACAGGAAGCCTATTTGGCATATCGTCGTTCATATTGCAATTTGTTCTATGTCAAAAATTTATATATTTGTTTTTTAACGTATTAATTTCTGTAATTTGTTGTTCTAGTGTGCCAAATAAATGTATTTTATTTCATTCTTTACTTAATACTTACTTAATACTTTTATTGCCTAACCACATTAGCATTCACATTTATAGGTCTTACAATTTAGGCAGTTATACAATGTGGACCCAGTTAGGGCACAGCAACTTTAGGAAGGAGACAGAACGACGATCTTACTAGTCAAAAGAAATTAATGTACAAATTGAGTTTGGTGGAAATGTCATTATTAAACGTTTCGATAATTATAAAATAAAGTTAGAATTAATGAATTATTAAAAATGGAAAAATATTGTTAAAATGTCATGCTAATTATTGTCAAGTGTTGAAATGTCATGTTAAATATCAAGTGGTAAGCAGTTAGGTCCTACTAATTTATTATTCAGGTCAACATTAATAAATAATAACCTAAAAATCCTTAAATGTCAAGAAATTTTCAAAATAAATATAAATAAATATGTGTATAAATTAAATAATGTCAAAAATGTAAAATCATGTCAAAATGTTAAATCATGTCAAAAACTTATCGTCTAAAAATTCTTTCAAATTATAATAAGTTTTCTGATTAAGTATATTCCTTAATCTATTTTCAAATGTCCTGCTATTTGTTTCAGCTTTTAGGTGTTCAGGTAGGTGATTGTAAATTTTTATTGACATAATAAGTGGCCCTTTAGTGTGTAGTGTTAACTTGGATTGTGGTAATGCTAGGTTGTTCTTGTATCGTGTAGGATAACGACGGTGTGTTTGGTCCACGATCTTCGTAGTGAACGCTGGGTATTTCCTTACGAATTTGCAAATTTCAAATATATAAATCGAAGTAAGGGTTAATAACTTGTGTTTTTTAAAGTAATCTTTGCAACTAACAGATTCGTCAATATTTTCTATAATGCGGACGCATTTCTTTTGGAGTATAAACAGATCATTTACGTGTGTGCTATTACCCCACATGATTACTCCGTATCGCAACCATCCGTACGCGTAGGCATAATACGCAGTTAAAGCTGATTTTTTGTCCGTTGTTTTCTTTAGTTCTCTTAGCGCGTAGATAAAGGAAGATAATTTCGTTTTTACATTTTGTATATGAGCTTTCCAATTTACGTGTGTGTCTATATTCAGCCCTAAAAGAGTAAATGTGTCCACGCATTCTATTTTTATGTTATTAAATGAAAATTCAATGTCAAGGGGGAGTTTTTGGTGGGGTCTAAATTGCATTAATTTTGTTTTTTTATAGTTAATTTCTAAGTTGTGGTCAATCATCCAGTCACTAATTTTATTAAAAATGTCATTGAGTTTAAAATTAAGATTTTGGCTATTTGTGCAAGGTAATAATAAAGAAATGTCATCTGCAAATAATACACATTTGTCACTTAATATTTTCGGGAGGTCATTTATGTAAATTAAAAAAAAAAAAAAAAAATTTCCTTAGCAATTGTTGCTTGCACGCGGCCACATAGCCTCCGACACTAGATCTCTGTATAGCACGACGTTATACTGTAGAACACGGTAGCTCCCCGTCCCCAGTCAGCAAGAAGCCAACAAGGCGGCCAGCACGGCCAGTTGCATGTAGCCTCCAACACTAGACCACTAGCACGATACTTAGGCAGTTGGGACTAACTTGACATTAACTGGTTGGGTTTTTATTGGCGGTCAAGCTGTAAATCCTGGCTACACAGGAGTTGCAGCGGTGGAAACGAGAGGTGGGAAGGGTCCTGTAGCACGAGCGCCTGCAACTAGTACAAGGGCAGCCAGTACTGCCACGGCTACTGCCAGCGCAGCGGATTGCGACCGACAGCGTGCCCCAGCCGTAGCTGTTGCGTGTAGTCTCCGTTACTAAACCACTAGAACGGCATCATCGTTTCAGCCAAATGATGTCCACTGCTGGACAAGGGCCTGTAGATACTCATTGTAGAACACAGCAGCGCCTACAGCCAGTACAAGAGTAGCCAGCACGGCCACGGCCACTGCCAGCGTGGCATTGAACGAGCTCCAGCCGTCTCTATATGGCCACATGTATCCTCTGATACTATACCATTAACACTGCATACTCACTGTAGAACACGGCGGCGCCTACAGCCAGTACGAGCGCGGCCAGCACGGCCACGGCCACAGCCAGCGCGGCGTCGAGCTCGGCGCCGGCCGACAGCGCGCCCCAGCCGCAGCTGTTGTATGTAGCCTCCGACACTAGACCACTAGCCCATACTTACTGTAGAACACAGCGGCGCCTACAGCCAGTACAAGAGCAGCCAGCACCGCACCGCATGTGCCAGCGGCGCGGCGTCGAGCTCGGCGCCGGCCGACAGCGCGCCCCAGCGGCAGCTGTTGTATGTAGCCTCCGACACTAGACCACTAGGGCATCATACTCACTGTAGAACACGGCGGCGCCTGCAGCCAGCACGAGCGCAGCCAGCACGGCCACGGCCACTGCCAGCGCGGCGTTGAGCGAGCTCCAGCCGTCTCTATATGGCCACATGTATCCTCTGATACTAGATCAGTAACACAGCGTACTCACTGTAGAACACGGCGGCGCCTACAGCCAGCACCGCACCGCGTGTGCCAGCGGTGCGGCGTCGAGCTCGGCGCCGGCCGACAGCGCGCTCCAGCCGCAGCTGTTGTATGTAGCCTCCGACACTAGACCACTAGCACAGCGTACTCACTGTAGAACACGGCGGCGCCTACAGCCAGTACAAGAGTAGCTAGCACCGCACCGCATGTGCCAGCGGCGCGGCGTCGAGCTCGGCGCCGGCCGACAGCGCGCCCCAGCCGCAGCTGTTGTATGTAGCCTCCGACACTAGACCACTAGGACAACATACTCACTGTAGAACACGGCGGCGCCTGCAGCCAGTACAAGCGCAGCCAGCACGGTCACGGCCACTGCCAGCGCGGCGTTGAGCGAGCTCCAGCCGTCTCTATATGGTCACATGTATCCTCTGATACTAGACCAGTAACACTAAGCCAGTTGTATGTAGCCTCCGACACTAGACCAGTAACACAGCGTACTCACTGTAGAACACGGCGGCGCCTACAGCCAGTACGAGCGCAGCCAGCACGGTCACGGCCACTGCCAGCGTGGCGTTGAGCGAGCTCCAGCCGTCTCTATATGGTCACATGTATTCTCTGATACTAGACCACTAGCACATCATACTCACTGTAGAACACGGCGGCGCCTGCAGCCAGTACAAGAGCAGCCAGCACCGCACCGTATGTGCCAGCGGTGCGGCGTCGAGCTCGGCGCCGGCCGACAGCGCGCCCCAGCCGCAGCTGTTGTATGTAGCCTCCGACACTAGACCAGTAACACAGCATACTCACTGTAGAACACGGCGGCGCCTACAGCCAGCACGAGCGCAGCCAGCACGGCCACGGCCACGGCCAGCGCGGCGTCGAGCTCGGCGCCGGCCGACAGCGCGCCCCAGCCGCAGCTGTTGTATGTAGCCTCCCACACTAGACCACTAGCACAGCGTACTCACTGTAGAACACGGCGGCGCCTACAGCCAGTACGAGCGCAGCCAGCACGGCCACGGCCACTGCCAGCGCGGCGTTGAGCGAGCTCCAGCCGTCTCTATATGGTCACATGTATCCTCTGACACTATACCAGTAACACAGCGTACTCACTGTAGAACACGGCGGCGCCTACAGCCAGTACAAGCGCAGCCAGCACGGCCACGGCCACGGCCAGCGCGGCGGGGTGCGGGCGCGCCGCGTGTGCCAGCGGCGCGGCGTCGAGCTCGGCGCCGGCCGACAGCGCGCCCCAGCCGTAACTATTACGAGCCTGTACCCGCGCTATGTAGCCCTCAGACACTTCGCCTGCGCCTATCAGCCAATATGTATCTGTGCGGAATAATACAATCTTTTAATGTCTTCAAAAATCTTAGGCGGTTATCACACTGCGCCGCGGAGCGCGGCGCAGTGTGACCGGGGCGACCGATTTAATCATTGTATGCAAGTACCTCAGTTTGTATAGAAAACACGCGCGGCACTTCACACTGACCACGCGTCCGCGCGCGTGATTTTTTATATGAAAATCCGCGGCGAGCGCGGCGCAGTGTGAAAACCGCCTTAGCCTCCCGACATTTCCGTTGTGCCTATCAGCCATTACGTGTATGAGCGAAAAATTACAGTCATGTCTAGAAAAAACAGGACGTTAAGGTAATTTGTTACTTTTGGTCTTTCGAGCCGGATTTGACCTTGATTAGGTAGAAGAATACAAAATGATTGATGAAATTATATAAGTTCTGCACTGTGAAATTGCATGCACCTATGATATTATATTCTTCCAAGTAAATTATTGATTTGCTTAAAAATATGGAGTTTACCTGTTCCGTTATGTAGCAATTCGAGGCCTTCTTGAAGAATTTGAAGTTTCATTTCTTTGGGCATATCAGAAGGTAAGCTGAGTAACAGTTCGCTTACATTGTTAGTCACGTTCACGTAATTGACTCTGAAATGAGTAGATGAAAGAAAATGTATACGAAACTATTGGATTGGACACACATGTAAAGAATGTTAAATTGGGTAAGTAAGTATCTATGTTTTTACCTGTGTTGCGGTCTGCCCCAAACCCTGTACATAGTGATCGGTGCACCCCGTGTGTCGGGCTCCGACCACCAGGCTCGCAGCACCCTCTCTCCCACGGCTTCCACTCGCAGTGCCCCGGGAGGGCCGGGAACGTCGCCTAAAATAATATTACAAGTAATGTTTGCTGAACACAAAGTCTGAAAAATATGAGTTAGAGAGCTCAATTTTAATGCTTGGAATCTGAAGAAAACATAATCATAAACTTAATAAAAGTCTGAACCAAAGATATAGGCAAAGTTAAAAAAATGTAGCACGTTAAAGCCTAAGTAAACAAATGAAGCCTAAAGGTCCAGTATGTAATTAACACTTTTTCTTTACGATGAAGCCCAGACTGTAAACTGTTTGTATACCTATTACAAATAAATAAATAAATAAATGAAACTCATTTGTTCCAGAACCTATAAATGGTGCAGTAGACGAGTTCTCGAGTGGAGATAACTATGTTTTGGCAAACGTATAGGATGTGCCAGTTCTCGATGGTGGAATGATCTACAGTATAATATGGATGAGAAATTCGGGTTTGTCTTTATATTACGTCTAGTGGACTATCAGTAGACAAAACAGCACTAACCGAGCGTCTCGAACGTGAAGCGGTCGTCGGCCGGCCAGTAGTAGGGTGGCGCGTCGCGAAGATACTGCAGGCGCAGACGGTAGGTAGGCCGTGTCCATGCCTTGAGGTGGGGCTTAGGTCTACTGGACTATTTTGGGCTGTCACATCACTAACCGAGCGTCTCGAAGGTGAAGCGGTCGTCAGCCGGCCAGTAGTAGAGCGGCGCGTCGCGAAGGTACTGCAGACGCAGACGGAAGCGGTAGGCCGTGTCCATGTCTTGAGGTGAGGCTAGGTCTACTGGACTATTTTGGGCTGTCATATCACTAACCGAGCGTCTCAAATGTGAATCGGTCGTCGGCCGGTCAGTAGTAGGGCGGCGCGTCGCGAAGGTACTGCAGGCGCAGACGGTAGGTAGGCCGTGTTCATGCCTTGAGGTGAGGCTAGGTCTACTGGACTATGATGGGCTGTCATATCACTAACCGAGCGTCTCGAAGGTGAAGCGGTGGTCAGCCGGCCAGTAGTAGGGCGGCGCGTCGCGAAGGTACTGCAGACGCAGACGGAAGCGGTAGGCCGTGTCCATGTCTTGAGGTGAGGCTAGGTCTACTGGACTATTTTGGGCTGTCATATCACTAACCGAGCGTCTCAAATGTGAATCGGTCGTCGGCCGGTCAGTAGTAGGGCGGCGCGTCGCGAAGGTACTGCAGGCGCAGACGGTAGGTAGGCCGTGTTCATGCCTTGAGGTGAGGCTAGGTCTACTGGACTATGATGGGCTGTCATATCACTAACCGAGCGTCTCGAAGGTGAAGCGGTGGTCAGCCGGCCAGTAGTAGGGCGGCGCGTCGCGAAGGTACTGCAGACGCAGACGGAAGCGGTAGGCCGTATCCATGCCTTGTGGTGAGGCTAGGTCTACTGGACTATTTTGGGCTGTCACATCACTAACCGAGCGTCTCGAAGGTGAAGCGGTCGTCAGCCGGCCAGTAGTAGGGCGGCGCGTCGCGAAGGTACTGCAGGCGCAGACGGAAGCGGTAGGCCGTGCGCGGGCGCAGGCCGCTGGCCAGCCACTCGTCGCCGCGCGCCACGCAGTCGCGCCACGTGCCATTGGCCGTGTTCGCTTCTGTGTACTCCACTTTGTATCTGGGGAGTGATATTAAAGTCAGATATTGTTTAAAACGTTGCTTTGCCTGTCCAAAAGATTCGGTTCTAGGACCTGTGGTAGGTTAGACCACAAACTGATACTACAATAGCTAGAAAATCTATCACAAATTAATCAAGGATACGGTACCCCGTATTTGGGCTCACCAGTTAGTACCACTGTACGGCCACAGTGTTAACTACCTATTTACGTTTTTGCTCTCGCTCTCATCAAATGGTGATTATTTGCGATAGAACTAGACGACATGACCGGCAATGGGCAGTTAACACTGTTGCCGACAGTACATTAAGGGGATTTTAATCTACAGGAGTCACTTATTGCTATTAGTTAGCTAAGATAGTGTTGCCAACTGATGAACGCTAGTAACGTAGAGTAAGGTCCTGGCACTCGTCAGGGGCGCTAACTAGTGAGCGCAAATACAGTAGTCCAAATTTCCCCAATTTTCGTGGGTTTAATGCATAGCCCGGTCCATTGGACTCGGAGAATAGGCTAGTTTCCTAAAAAAATTTTTTTAGTCCGTCATGTTTAATATCAAAAAATATTGGACACATATATTTTTATTTGTCAATCTAACAAATAATTACATAGTTATGGTGCGTTGAAGTTCCGAACTACGTCACAACGTGCGGCACTTTTATGCAAGCATTGACGTCACGGGCCTCTTCTTATGAACTTTGGCGCGCTTTATCTCTTTAAATTTTCATTAGTTTGAGAAAGTGAAAAATACGTGTAGAGTATTTTTGGATAAGTTAACTGACGGACTAATTAAAACTCTTGCTTTTTGACCCAAGAAACATCCCTATTACTGCTACATCTTAGCAATAAAGACGACTTACCTATAAATACTGTAGGTAGTCGGCGGCGTCCAAGCCACACGTAGACGCGTGGGTGAGGGCATGGCGCGGCGCAGCGGCGGCGGCGCGGGGTAGGTGCGCATAGCTAAGGGTGCGCTGTCGGCCGCCTGCGCACTGTGTCTCACCTATAGATGCTGTAGGTAGTCGGCGGCGTCCAAGCCACACGGAGGCGGGTAGGCGAGGGCATGGCGCGGCGCAGCGGCGGCGGCGCGGGGTAGGTGCGCATAGCTAAGGGTGCGCTGTCGGCCGCCTGCGCACTATGCGGAGAGCGCGCGCGCACCCACACTGCATAGCGCGTGCCGGCCGCTAGTCGAGACACCACCACGCTGCCCTGCCGCGGCTCTGGTACTTCGAACGTACTGTGCTCTGCCAAAAAACGTATAGTTAAGTAACCACCTCGAATATGACGTGCTGCCATCCACGTACAAACATTTAACTTACTACGGGTTTTGTCTGTTACATTGGACTGAACAAATATTGGTATAGCTGGGAATAGAAATATTATGTGAATTGGAAGATACTCGTAGGTAGAAGACGCGACGCTGGTTTCCAGCGTAAAATCAATTGAAAATTTCTTAAAAGAGGCCATAGCAGTGAAGGGATAGACAAGACTTAGGAAAGTTAAGTACATTTTCAACGCGCTTACCTTTGAGTCTATGCGGAAGGGTAGTGGAGTCGTTAGTCCGCCAATGCACTTCATATTTCAGTCCATGGTCAGGAATCCATTCAACGCGAGCTTGTACTGGGCTTATAGGTATTGCAGTCACATTCTTTGGTGCAGTTGGAGCTACAAAATAAATGAAAGAAAGCGTTAGTTATTTAATAGATTGGCCTAAAAAATACCTCATTAAAATGAAAAGTACCTTCTGCTGCTGTCTGAAGTATCAAAGATGCTCCGATAAGTGGTTTAATTTCGTGAAGTTTTGCGTAGTAATTTGTTGCTTCCAGCATCACAGAGTAGTTGGTGAAAGGTTTCAGTTCATTTAGAATAACATCAGATCTCGTAGTAGTGATGTACGAACAAGTGTCTCTATCGCAGTTTGTAATAATGTCTGGCACTTGTAAGTAGTGGTATATCGTGTATTCTGTGGCAGGCATTTCATATTCTAAGTTACGGCATTGTGATTGCTGTGGTTTATGAACCTTTGGCATCTGGAGTGTGATACTGTTTGCCGAATTTGATAGAACTTTCGGTTGCAGGTTCTGAGATTTAGGAAACAAACATTGCCTCGGAGGATAAGGTTGATTAGCTGGATCTAGCGCCATAATCTTGTAGCCGTGTGACGTTTTCGCATGCTCCAGCTTTTGTTTCTTGTTTTTTATTGCGTAAAATATTTCTTTCTCGGTCGAATTGAACCAGTACACGTATTTGCTATCTACTGTTATTGACATTGGTGTAAAGCCGTATTTTTTCTTTTCTGTGGCATCAACGACGACTCTACATTTGCAACCATTCATGTCAGCTGCGAGAATCTGGTGTACCCAAGGATCTATCCAGTAAAGTTCTTGATAGCTGGTCGTCATATCGACTATGAATGACTTGGCAACTTGAGGATTTTCGGGGCAGTTGCAATCTTTCAGTGTACCGTTGGTTTTCAAAGTATTATTGAAGAAACTTCTAATATTAGATCCGTTTAATTTAGATGTCATAATGGTACCCAGACCTGGGTGACTGCTTTCTTCATACCAGTACAGTGTCCTGTGAGTTAAATAAAACTGTTATTGTAACAGTAGTAGATAAATATTTTAGTTTTAGTTAAAAAATAGTGAAGGTTTTTTATTTACCTGTTCAAAGGAGCAACCTGTAAACTGTAAATTGGTTGTCTCCTAGAGAACACACGAGAGATCGGAGGTCGTGTGTTTGGAATACCCAGATCAGCTTTATAAACGATGTAGGACTCGGCCGACGTCATTTCCAGTTGCGCCCAGTATACAGATCGCCCGACCCAGTCCAGAGTAATGCTCGTAGCAGAACCATTAATTGATGTTAGCTAAACATACCAAATAATAACAATAATTTATAACTGATTATTCTAAAAAAAATATATACCAATAGTCGTGGATCATCAGAATTTTCTCCTACCTTATAATGACCACTCCCATTAATCCTGGACGAAAATATTTCTTCCAAGTTGTTAACCCAGTATACGATATTTTCTTCGATAGAGACTGCAAAGTCTATAGGTATACCCATACTTTTCGGAATCGTTTCGCTCTCCCCTGAATCCAAGTCCACTATTCTGATCGATTCTTGCGACGATACTATAACTTTTGGTACGGGGTTAATTTCGTCTGATGATGATGAGACCACTTCAGAGTATTGTCCGAAGCCTGCATCAGTGTAGGCGCGTACCTATACGAAACAATTACAATATTACTAATAAGTAACATGATACTATCTCAACTGTTTGTGTCAGATTGAGCTATGGTAACCGTTTTTTGTTTCTTTTTTTTTAGTAAATGAAACTTATTTTGCATTTTTGTAGTAAGTAAGTAGGTACCTACTTATAAGATAAGTCATGTTTAAATCAAAATCTACTATTATTGATACGATTAAGTGTTTTTTTATGTGTGCATGGAACGGTTCGGAACAAACTGCATTGAATCTATATTGCATGTTGTGTCAGCCTATAATTGTTGTTGCATTGTAACTTTGTTCATAATTGTAATTTTTAAGTGTACATGTTGTAATGTAACAATGTTGGTAGACCTAATAAATAAATAAAATAAATAAATATAGTCTGGTCCGTGAGCACGTAGAATTTTGTCCAATGACCCCAAGCTACCCATCCTTATCGCTCGCGCGTAATTATATTTCTGTCGCGACTGTGCGACGCGCGCCCGCAGTGAGTGTGCGAGCGCGACAGTAATATAAGTGAGCAGGCTTTAGTTGATACTTCATTCACAATTAACACACATTTTTTGATATTTTGCATGGAAAAGACAAGATTTTGCCCGGTTAGATTAGAGGCAAAACCGATTTAACAGTTGGGTTTACAGCGCCAGAATATTCAGATTTTTTTTCACTTGTGTCTCAGAATTGATTGCTTAATGGTGTCTACCGCAGGTGTCAACTGCCCTATTATACCTAAACAAATATTTAACATTGCAAATAAGTTTAACTTGCCTGGAAGAAATAAGACGACGCGTTTTCGAGGTCCTTAAGCATGAGTTGCGTATGCGTCGGTGAGAGGCGGGCATCGGCACAGGCGGAGGGCTTCCCCGCTGGTTCCGGGGCGCGGCCGGACGATGGCTGTGTCCAACATTGGGCTTCGTATCCACGGATCAAGCCGTTAGCGCGCGCCGGGGGATCCCAGCGGAATATTGCGGAGAGGGAACCACCGCTGCAATCGAAATAAGAAGCTCAAAAATAACGTTCCGTTCTTTTTCGAACGCGAAGGTCGAAGCAGACGAGGTGTACTATAAAGTTAAACGTTAATTTATGAACTTTATTTCGCAAGAATTGAAACTTTCTCTACAATTGCTACGTAGCACAGTTTCGAGTCAGTGAAGCTTCTCGTAGATCCGTAGCTCGTAGCACGTACGCTACGAAACCTACACTACATGAAATTATTTTCAAAGGCCGCCGTCCACTTGATGCGAGTGCGCACCTAGGCTGTATGAGCGCGTTGCAAGTGTCTGTGACACTTGCAACGCGCTGTACGGAGCCACGGTCCTTTGGGAAACCTCCACCCACGTCACTTTCACTGTACCTACACTGGAAAGGGGCTTTAATCCTTTATGTTAGTAAGTTCATCTTACCTGGTAGCAGGTTGAATATAAAGCCGCGGCGGGCGGCGCTTGCGGCGAGTGCGCGAGGGCCCGCGACGGCGCACCGCCGCCCCAGGCTGTGTGCGCGCGCACTGACACTTGCAACGCACTGTACGGAGCCACGGTCCGAGACCTCCACCCACGGCAATTACACTGCAATGCACTGGGATGGGCTTATATCTTAGTTAGAGAGTTAATCTTACCTGGTAGCAGGCTGTATATAGAGCCACGGTCCTTTGGGAAACCTCCACCCACGTCACTTTCACTGTACCTACACTGGAAAGGGGCTTTAATCCTTTATGTTAGTAAGTTCATCTTACCTGGTAGCAGGTTGAATATAAAGCCGCGGCGATCGAGGCGCGGCGTGCGGCGCTTGCGGCGAATGCGCGAGGGCCCGCGCCGGCGCACCGCCGCCCCAGGCTGTATGCGCGCGCACTGGTACTTGCAACGCACTGTACGGAGCCACGGTCCGTTGGGAAACCTCCACCAACGGCACTTTCACTGTTCGTTAGTTCGTTCGTTTCAGCCGAAAGACGTCCACTGCTGGACAAAGGCCTCTCCCAAGGATTTCCACAAAGACCGGTTCTGCGCCGCTCGCATCCAGGCACCTCCCGCGGCCTTCACCAGATCGTCGGTCCACCAAGTGGGAGGCCTGCCCACGCTACGTCTTCCGGCAGTTTGGTCGCCACTCAAGAACTTTCCTGCCCTTCAAGAACTTTCACTGTACCTATGTTGGAATGGGCCTTTATGTTAGGAAGTTTATCTTACCTGGTAGCAGGTTGAATATAAAGCCGCGGCGATCGAGGCGCGGCGGGCGGCGCTTGCGGCGAGTGCTCAAGGGCCCTCGCTGGTGCACCACCGCCCCACGCTGTGTGCGCGCGCACAGACACTTGCAACGCACTGTACGGAGCCACGATCCGTTGGGAGACCTCCACCCATGGCACTTCCACTGTACGCTGGAATCGGAGGTCTTTTTAGGGGTTTCATCTTGCGATGTTGTCTTTAGAGTTACAATTACAGTCTCTGCTTGGTAATAATAGGTTTTAAATTCGAAGTAGAGTAATACGCTGTGAGGTGAGACTGAAAGTTCATCTCACATGCTCTCAGAATGACAAATAAAGTCAGTGTTTAGGTGGGTTTTTTATTGGACGGAAAATATGCTAAGTTGTAAATAAATATACAGTGCTCAGTTTGTCAAGTATCATAACGTAATTTCCGCGTATTCAAAGCGATGTTGGCTCTATTTATACAACTTAAAATTCATGCATCATCGTGACAAGCAGCCTACCCTAGTGTGAAGGGCACAAATATAATAAAGCATCTTCAAGTTCATCAGGAAAATCTATCAGTTATTAATTCCTACCTCGATCTTGTGCTGGCCCGGGAAGTTGAGGCTGACGTCATAGTAGACGCGGCTGTTGTTGACGTTGACGCGCCGCGCCGGTGCCCACGTCACGTTGAACGAGTCCCACTCGCCCGCTACCACGATGGAAGACGCGTCGATCGTCTCTGGGATGGCTATTAGGGACTCTGCGGACAAGATTTCCTGATTGAAATGGGGAAAAGTTGAGCTAAAAAGATTTCTAAAGTTGATCCATAATTATCTTGACTACTATAATGCATTGTGTAACCGGTCTAATTATCAGTCTGTTAATGTATGTTACGGAATATTTATTTACAAAAAAATTATGTCCATTTTACGAAATGACTCTAAAACTCGATTATAGAGCATAATAAAAACATACCTAATCTATGCACAGGTTTAATAATCTTTTGAGCATTGTTTCGTAATAGGTACTAAAGTAACTTATTATAATAGTAATCTGAGATACTAGCCTTTAAGAATGAAACAACTTGGTAAAATTCACGAAAGTGAATGTGTAATAATGTGTCATTATAAAATTCGGTAACTATAAACACAAAATTGCCCATCATACCGCTGTTAGCATGCAGCGTGGGGTCCCTGACTGCGATCACATGCACCCTGGGCACCAGCGCCGCCGTGTACTTTCCCTCGAGGTCGGACACCACTGCTCGCGACGCGTCCTGCACCCACACCAGCCGCTCGCTGAAGTAGCACAGCGGACCCAGGGTCGCTGTCCCGGCTAGACGGGTCACTAGGGTCCCGGATATCTGCAAGGTACAGAACAGACGACGTCAAAGCAGTGGAGGTAAACACGTACTGGCATCGTACGTGTGTTGTTGAAATAAGTGTTATTTTTATTTATTTATTAATTTACTTTATATTTCGATACTTGGTCATTTACCCCCTTAATAATAAAAAGTTACACGTAGGATGAACACTGGATTAAAATGTCATTTTCATACTAAACTAGCTTTCCGCCCGCGGCTTCGCCCGCGTGGAATTTCGTTTGTAAATTTTTCCTGAATTTTCTTTGCTATAAACCTCACGGAGCCCGAGACCTTTCCAACGAATGCAAAACCGTGGAAATCGGTTCGTGCGTTCTGGAGTTATAGCGTCAGGAAGGAAAACCCGACTTATTTTTATTTAGTAAGTAGATGACAATTTAAACCAGAGTTCAACTAGGGTGTAACTTTTATTAATAAGGTGTTTTGTGAGTCCACTGCATAGGCTAAGAGAATGCTTGGCCTACACTCCCCACTGTAGCCAGATGGATGTTAGCCGTGTGATTACAGTAAGTAGACTCAATCGTAAGAAAGCAATTACATTTTTTTTATTTTTCTTTCAAACATCAGACCTCCCTAACCCGTCTGACAAGGTAAACATGAAGGTGAAAAATTACGCGCTAAAAGCTCATGTATCTATTAGCTTAGCTCGAGAGGCTCACAGGAAATTAGTAGTTTCATTCAGCTTACAAACCTCAGTGACGCCATGTGCGATGAGGTCTGCACTAGGCGCACGGTGCAATTCAGATCCATCGTAACTTCGAACCAACCAGTAAAGCCATTTATTTTCTAAATCAGCCGTCAATCCCATCACTAGAAAGAAAACATGTTTTTAACAAACGAACAACAGAGGATTATAATATTATGTAGTTTCATGTATTATTTTCGTTCGCACCTTGCTTCCCACTAAATAATTGCGCCGGATAGTAAACCATCTTGTTCTCTCCATTCAGCTTCGCAGCCTCAACGGCGTGGCCTGTGTTCCAGTAAATATACGCTCCAAGAGAGTCTATTGTCAGTTCTTTTGCTACTGTTACTATTGGCACTGGTTCTCTGTTGCCACCGTCAAAATTACCTCGAGTTATCTACAAAAATATTTTCATTATTGTAGAAATTCAGTTGACTCTACCTTAAAGTAATATTTAATTTAAGTATCTTACCAACTGTTGCTTAGGGTTTGACCAGTAAATTTTCTTCCCAACCCAATCGACTGCCAAACTCCCAACATTGTCCATATTGGGCATCAAACCTCTGGCGTGAGATGTAGTGTTGTACCACATGACGGTCGAAGCATTAGTTACTAGGTAGAGCTTGTCCCGGTACCAAGAGATATCAGTTATGTGTAGTTCTCTGAGATGCCCCCTAGATAACGGTATTTGATTAATATGTTGAACTAATTCATAGACTTGAGTGAGCGATGCGTGATTAGGTATATTACATACCCGTGTATCAACGTTTGCAAATTATCGCCGCTAAGATCAGTCTGTAGTAGTCCATCGGGACCGGACCATAATAATGTGCTGTGAAGGTTTGTTGGTGAAGACGCTAAGGTTTTACCTACAAATCCGGAAGACCATGGACCTGAAAAAATACAATAAATACAAGTAGTAGTATGATCAAAAATTCGTTATTAATAACAGAACTTGTTAATCTTCACACTTCTTCAGTGATTACCTGATCCAGATGGTGTAATAGCTGCTACTCTAATCGTGTATTCAGCGTCTTGTTCCAAGTTTTCAACAATGTATCCAGAATCACTGATGTTTTTACTGAAATCAAATTAAAAGTTTAAGATGAAGTGCTTGGTATTTAGAAAATGGGTAAAAATAAAAAAATTATATCTTCGAAACACATTACATGTCAATGGTATCTCCAGAGGGTGAGTGTATTAGTTGAAGATGGTACGTCCATTGCTGCCACGCTCCGCTTCCTTGATGTCCTAGCAAGTGTGGTGGAGACCACGCCACTTTTGCCCGGCTTATGCCCATCACACTTTGTACTCCAATCGGTGGATTCACAGGAACTGGTATTGGTTGACAGCTTCTAAGCGCTACCAATACTTGACGCGTTGCTATTAACTTGGAATTGTATGCTAAAGGGTACTCGTTATGAAAGTAACTATCACTTTCAGCATGATATTCTTCGGTCAACATCTCTCCACCATTTGTCCAGTAGAAAAGTCCACCTGCGTATGCTATTGAGCGAGTCGAGAGAAACATTGGTGTTTGAATGTTGCTTCGAAAGTCTGTCACTTCACGCCTGCAATATAAAAACATAGTTACTTACCTAAAGATAACTAAATAAAAAGATTATTTATCAAGTTCTACTTTCCATAAACATACCCATCAAGTGAAACTGCCAGCACAGTATTTTTCTTAAGATGGGCAACAAGGAGCCTGAATTCCGCGTGGTCCACAGTAAAAGCACCGAGATGAGCATCTCTTACTATCAGCTCTGGGGGTGAATCGTGACGAACTCCGTTTGAAATGTTAGCCAAGTCGAGCCTGTATAAACCACCACGATCTCCACCACGAAGCGCCCAAAATAAGTACCTAAAAGTGATTTTTGGTAAAGATTTGGGTTGCTTTTGCAAATTGTGTTTGTAAAGTAGGACATTGTGCTTACCCATTATACGCATCTACTTCAAAATGAATTGGACGTGAATTAAAACCTGAATAAGCAACTACCGGATTCTTGCCATCAAAATCACGACGTATAATCTCCCATTGATCAATTGAAGTCAAATTGCTCGTAGAATGTACAACGCCGAGCACATACAAATGGCGGTTTAACCAGTCCACAGACAAGTCTAAAGGATGGGAAGAAGTTGGGCTGATAATAATTTCAGTATTGCCTTTTTTTGATAAAGTACTTCGATATACGTAACCATTGGAAACAGAGACGAATAACGAGTCGCTTGAGATATCCAAACCAACACCTGAAATAGAATATTATTTTTGTACTCTCATTTTCTTTTTTAAAAGAAACAATATCAATTTTCTTGATTTACATACCAGTAATCGTGTCATTAACGGATGGAGTACTGTATAGCTCAATAGGATCGGAGAGCATATCATTTGCGGGCGCTGCTAAGACGTTTTGCTCTCCACCCACAATTAGAATAGGTTGTTGGCTGGGTGCAGCTGAAAGATTGCACTATATGTAATAACAGACAAATGGTTTGCATATCAGCACCCACGATGCGATCTACATGCAAATAAATAGGTTTGTTTATTGAATGAATGCACTCACGCGTGGGCAGCGGCGGCGTGGATACTTTAACGAAAGCCCTTGGTCCCTCGCCCACGGCATTGCGCATCGAAACGGCGACTTCGTACTCCCGAGCTGGTGCTAAGTTTTGAAACATGTAGAACAACGTATTGTTTGATGCTGGCATGTCCTGAAATGAAGCGATTAAATGTAAACCTACGCTATTAAATGTCATCATCGCGTTAACGTTTGATAACTGCTAGGTTAATAGGGTAGTGGACACCCTTGTCAATTTACTTTTATGAGCAGTCAAAACGCGACTTTCTCATTTGTATGGCAAAGGAAGGCCATCAGGTCATGAACTCAATTAACTAACAATTTATTGATTGAACCGCTCTAACTGCGTGATGTAAAACTATCGGACCTGACAACTTAACAAAGTCAAAGTCAAAATTTCTTTATTTGTTTAGACTAATAAATAAGTTCTTACAAATCGTCATTTTGCTCTTAAGGAGCCTCTAAATGTCTCATAATCTTTTTATCTCTTATCCCTTTAACAGTCATAACATAATCAAAATTTTCATTGTTTTTGGACATTAAAATATGCGAATAAGGTTCAAACTATAGTAGGAACTATATTCCCACTGCCTATTGAAGGCTTAATGTCCTCTGAGTTAGACCTTAGCCATGAAACTTACCTCCAAGGCGTCAATAGTATTCGGCTGAGTGTCAGTCAATCGCAGCACGTAGGATATGAGCGGGCCGTTGGGAAAGGGCCCGGGCTCCCAGGAGATGGACACGCGGCTGGCATCAGGTGCGGCGGCTCTTAGCGATTGCGGTGCCGAGCTGGGCGTCCCGCTTTCCAGAGTGGAGATTACCACTGACGGCGCTGAGTACACCGGCTCGCCTGTCCCACCTCGGCCCGATAGGAAGATTGCTACACGGAACTGGAAAAACATGGACGTCAGTATATTTAATATTAATACAAAGCTAGAAGGTTAGTTATGAATGAATAGTTTCGATTAAGAATAACTAAACCAGATTTTCTAGCTTGTGCTGTTTTGATGTAAAGCGAAATTATTGTAATTTCATCACAAACTAACTGGGCGCACGCTACGCGGGCTACAAAAGTTAGTTTCATCAAAAATAAGGGTTTTTGCTTCCTTTTGTGACTTTTCTCCCATTACTTTTACCCTTAACACCATGTAAAATATCAATAATTCAATTAAGTAGATAAATACGAGTACATAAACTACATACCCTGTACTTAGTATAGGGGCGCAAGTTTTCCACGTGGATGATGGACCGGTCGGAGTGGCTGGTGTTGGAGTAGTATTGCCACGTGCCGGGCAGTTCCTCGTACCGCCATTGGACCAGGCAGCTCAGGTTGCCCAGCGTGGGCGCTTCCCACACTAGGGACAGCGAGGTCGCCGTCAGGCTGTCAGCCACCAGTGCCGGCGCAGGCGGGGTTCCAATCAACTCTTGGAGATAAAAGTTTGATCAAGTACGTTTCATTTGAACTTGCTTATTTATTTTAAAACATAATAAATTGCACATAGAACAAAAGCAAACGTAATGCATGGCATTCGCTCCCTCAGCCTTTAGGCCAAGCAGAAATTAGAACTTCACGATAAAGATACGTAAAGTGTAGAGTCATAGAAATGGTCTCCTTACCTCTTAACTTTTGAAAGTATGTATTAAGAGCCTCATTGCATCCCATAACACAATACAGTTCCCGCGAAAACGAGGATTCGGATGTAACATTCTGTAAGAAATAATCAGGAATTAGATCATAACAACTTTTTTCAGGACGTAATTTCTATGAAAAGAAAACACAACAAATGCCATGGATACTCACGCATGCCGCTTGACATGAATTTTCCAATCCTTCTCTCCAAAGACTGCACCCAACCGCACACTGGGAACAATAAAAAGTATTTGTTAGATGACTGAAGCGTGAAAACCATTATAATTGGACAATAGAGCGTAACATGATGTGAATATTAGGGTGGAAAGGGTTACAAACATGGCTGAATAAGGATTGTATCTTTATAATTTGATTTTGCTCGATAAAGCGAAAGTAGCCTTACTATTTATAACCCAAGTGTAAGCATTCATTTGGAAGCATATAGTATTGTCAATTTTCATCAAAGTTCATCGTTTCTAATATTGGTGTAGATGGAAAAACAAGTGAAAAATGAAACTAAAGTTAAACCAATGTAGATTTGATCACAGTTTAAGAGCTGTCTGTCTGTGTCATTCATTATAAAAACTAATATTAACTTAGTGATGACAAGATAGGCGCGAAGCATTTGTATCCTGGGTGATTTACATCAATTAGCGGCAAATGGTGCGGGCTCTAATGCAATTAAATAGCCACCACTCACTTTACCTATTATTTTGATACTTCCAAAATTTTAACGCCACCATATTTAACTTCCATGACACGGACTGAACAGTTAATCAAATAAAGCAATTTGTAAGTCTAATATCTACTTATTTATTTGTATTATTCAGAAATTACATATTATAAAATAAGTAAGTACCAAAGTTAGTCGAATTTTAATTAGTTGTTTAGATTCCTATAATAAACCTAAGTCCTATCCATATAGAGGTGTCTTTCCTAGGTTACTCGTTAGGTTTTGTATACTTGATTATCATGGCTATCAATGTAATATTCTCATGTAAAACAAAAATTCAATCTTATCCAACACACTTATTTTGATGACCCGTTCCAAAACGGAATCAAACAACTTTCTGTTTATTAGGAACCGTTTAAAATGTTTCGTAATTTAAGTATGCGCAGGAGTGTGAGTTGTTTACGCGGAACACGTGCAAGCTCATCGCGTGTTTACGTGTAAACAACGAGAGCCAAGCGCCAGAATCTGTGCCGATCTTGAGAGCTTCGTGTATCACTGGTTCTGGTTCTTGTCATTTTTTGCGTGAGAAAGTTTGCCATAATACAAACAGGGACAATTTGACTGGGATTCTACATCCTACTGTGAAGAAATCTTACTGAAAATGCTACGTTTCAGGAGTTTTAAAAGCAATTTGTAAGTATGAAACCTAATATTATTGTAATAAAAATCACGGTCATGTTTATACAAATATTGTTAAACTAATGCCCGAGGAGTGATAGTGCTTTGAAGAAAAGATAAGACATACGTGTGTGCTTACGTTAATGAGTAGTAACGGACTTTTACGGTCGGCTGGCGACCTTTACGGGGTGGCAGGTTTGCGGCAAGACGGCGGAAGTAAGGTGGAATAGTTTTGGACGAAGTAAGGTGGAATAGTTTTGGACACCCACCCAAGATAGGCAATTCACTTTCTTGCGTGGGAAACGATTCTTATCTACCTAATTGTAGGTAGAGCACCTTAATTTATGACTATTTACATGTTGATTAGGATAATTATTTAATTGCACATACTAAACTTACATAAAAATTTACGTAATAATAAAATTTAACAAACTGTAGAAAAACAATTGATCATCATTCAATATGACCAATTGACCCTTAATTTTTCTCGATATCAATTTGGTAACTGTCCTGCGTGACGAAATTAAACAAGTATATTATTGCGTGTTGAAATGTGAATTATTAGATAAATTCAATTAGCTACACAGTGGGTGTCCCTCACCTCAATTATGAAGTTATCAACGAACTGAGCTACCATTCAAATTACTTATTTATTGTTTCGTAGATAAATAGATTAGTTATAATTAGTCGTACAAACGTCCGAATCATATTACAGTATCATTCATTAGTTTGCTCTCAATTTTAGGAGTAGCATAGTTGGGTAGACAAAATAGTACCTACATAACATTTTCGATTCAAATTTCAAAGACAATGCTTCGCTTTGCTACGTGCAAAATGTAACTTTACGAATCGAAACATAACAAATGGTAAATTATTAGGAAGGTGTACTTAGGTATTTGACTTTGCTGATGAAAATTAACCTACTTTACTTTATTCATTAGCTCCGAAAACATTTGTTTATGTTTTCGCAATGCTTTTGCTTTGTATACAGGAAGCATGAAATTCTGATGCATGCAGGTCGCTCGTCTGGCGATTCATGACAATTAAAACGCGCGGAACAATTAACGCGCGATGAGTGTGCGCGGGCGCCGCGATCTGTGCGTCTGTTTCGGCGAGCCAATTGCGGGTCGCGGGCTGACCCACGCACTGCAATCGCCCAGCGAGATCTGGCCTGACGTCAGGGACCACCGGCCTATTAACTAAGTCAATGACTGCTAGTTTAAAAAAACGCATTTGATTATAATAGGCAGGTATTTGACAACAATACGTTAATACGTGCCTCTTAAGATACATTCCAGCATGATACAGTTGAAAATAACGGGTTTCGCTAATGTCATCCATAGCACAGTGGTCAGAGCAGTCACCCGGCAAGCAAGTGGGTTCAAAGTTTAAACGTTTCACAAAATATATCTGTTTATTATGTATTTTAATGGAGCTTAGCAAAACGCCTTGTGTAGACAGGTGAAATGTGAAAACTAAGATCAGAATCGGGGCATTCAAAAGTTCAGCGGTGGCTAGAATAGGCTCTGTTTTGTTTTATGGGAAGTTTTAAAGTGGCATCCAAATAAAATATCAATTTAACAAAATGGTTTTGAGGCCTCTTTTCCGGTAAATTAACAAGTGGCTCTTTAAAAGCACGCCTGCATCCGATCAGGCGGAGTGCGCCGGCGCAGCCGCTAACGCGCCTCTTCCGCCATGGCTGTCACAACACCACGCCCCGCGCCCTGGGCCTCATGAACAATTTATAGTTCTGTCGGACGGACTCATTCAGCATGTATACTTGTCAATTCATATTACGGCCATATTGGTCCCTTTGACATGTTGTACGTAAACTTTGAACTTGCTAACTGCCACTACTCGTACTACTTGTACCACTTAAGTCAGATATTGTTTTCAAACTTTGAAATTATCGTAGTTCTTACCTACACGATTCCTTTACTTACTTTCTTGGAATAATAATGTTATTAATTAGTACAAAGAAGACTCTTAATTGTAAAAAATCCGACCGAAAAAAAATCTATTGCGCCTACCATTAAAAAGTTTGTACGTACATCCAATGTCAAGCCCTATTGCTCTCAATAGAAAATAAACGGAATGTCCTAATAACAGGGAGCTATTAAAGCGGCTAAGTAAATTAGTGGCTAATTAGCCAGCATCCTGTCTCGTGCCGTAATAATAACAAAACAATAGCTCTCCCTGTAGGGTCATTAATGGCGTCGGTCGTGGAGCGATTTCGGAAACAGCTCGGAAGTCCAATTGGGAGCGCAGCGGATGCAGGGCGCTGTGAAAGCACTCACGGATAATTTGCTTGTTAATTGCTATGTGTTAACCGGCTATGTTTGTTATCTAATAGCATTAATATACATAAGATTCGTCATGCAACAGGAAGAATGTGTGTACTTCTCAGTTAACGTTCAGATTATGGAATTCACTTTCCTAATGCTTACAAAGCTTAAGAATATCCGACAAAGTTCGTCACCTTAAACTTCTATGTAAGATAGGCAGGTTAGAAAGATTGAAATCAATAATGATGATGAAACCATACTGATAATTCAGTCATGTTTTTTTGTAGCAAGTTATCCTACTATTATAATGGATGTATGTTTGTTTCATTTTAACCCATAAACTCCTGCACGATTTATGATAACGAATTGTGACAAACTGAATTTCACGCGGGCGAAACCGCGGGCAAAAGCTATCACTAATAACGATAAGTACGTTTATTTTCCAATAATATGTATATCATATTATCAGTGTCAAAATTAACCCACAAAAATATACACAATAATATCTTAATATTTTGACCCTTGACTGAAACCGTTCGACTCTACATTTTGTCAGTGATACATACGTGGGAAAACAATTGCATTTTTTATTTAAATTAATTTATTTATTTTTAGGTTTGTAAGTTGGCGCCAGAGGACGATAAGAATCGAGCAATATTGCTGTTTTTCTAACGGTCGTGACCCCTGATAACATGGGGTGTCTGCTACATTATATGCTGATTTTACGCGACCTCATCATCTGTTTATATCGTGATCATAAATCAAACGCACAGTTAAATTCTATAATTATGATTTATGCCCACGTGTATAACATAGACGTTATACAGAGCTAACGTGATAGGAACTACGATTATGGTGACTCTGATACTATCTTGTCCCATTAATCCATTAAGATACGATTCGACACGAAGGAGGTGGTTTACTAGCAATTGACGGTAAACAGGTGCTTGAAGACCACTGCGTAAACGTCAGTATAACGACGTTATCTATACCTGCTTTGTATGTTCTATAAGTTGACTTTTCTCTTGTGATGGACAAGGCAATATGAACTTTCTGGGTTTGAACCATCCACAACGAAATTAGCTCGTGATGTCTTCTTTTAACAAGGAAAACATATGTCGTAAATAAATGTAAGTCAAACAACTCCAAAATATGTGAGCAGGTCACGAGCTGGCCCACGCCAACTGGTTGTCTCCGGCAATTGGATAATGCAGCAAATTGGGGCCCACACCGCGCCCGCCCGCACTCCCGACGCCTCAAGGGCTCTCTTCTCCATTTTGTCTAGTGTGCCGTGCTGGCCTCTACCAGGCGACTTCAATGGCCGTTGCTCATTTTGTTATCGCTAAATATACAGACCGAAGCCGATATAGATCAACCCAGTTAGCCCATTCATGAACCGCGAGCTGTGTAGAGGTCATCGCGGCAAACGATCCTAAAATAGTATCTTCTATAAGCTGCTAAGTATTTATCATTTAGTGAATATGTTGAAAACGTTTTTACAAACTATATGGACTGCACCGTTATTTCCTTGCATGTAAAGCATTTATTTTGCCGCTGCATCTTCAATAGATTTCAAGGTTGCCAACACTTAGCAG